TGAATAGAGCATGTATCAAAGCTCGCTCAGCTTATCTGAAATGCCAACCGAGCACTTTAATTTGCGCTGCAAATGGCATAGGGCTTCGTTTTTATTACAGCGTAAACAAACGAAGCGCAAACAACGAGCAAAAAATTAGAGAATAAAAATAAATAAAAAAAAGACCAAAATAGAACCGAAACATAGGAAAAATATTTTAGAAATCCCCTAGCGCAAAACCGCACTAAATAAATTAATTAACTACATGAAAAACGGCACAGACAACGGAACAAAACAGCCGTACGGACAAAGGACATGTATGAAGTTTGCGGCAAAACCAGAGCGTTTAGAGAGGCAAGGGACAGAAATGAAATTCATGGATAAGCTAACGCATATGTATATATAGCACTAGATCTAGACCCATGTTGGCTGTTGAGGCTGTTTCTGTTGTTGTTGCTATTGTTGCCGTTATACCCATGAACCCACTCGAAATGGGTAGTCGAGTCGTATAATACATATTTTTGTAGGCAGAATATATATATTCTCGTTAAATATATATATTCAGATATTCAGGCGGGCTACATTAACCAGTTTCTTAGGAAGTGTATAGAACTTTGATATATATGCCTCAAGCAATTATAATAAATAAGAATATAAAAGTATTGAATCTATATCAATATTTACTCTAACTATCAGTGCTGTAGTTATTGAATAATAACACATTTTATTTACTATTTTTTTTATTTATTTTTTTTTAGTTTTATTTAATTTTATTTATTTATATATTTATTTTTTTTTTTTTAATATAACTAACACTTATAACTAAATAAATATTTATTGCATTAATATCAAAGTATTCGCAGTGAAAAAATATAACTATTTAATTTTTTAAAAATTCCAAAAAATTATATTCACTATATTAAAACTTTCTTATTTTCTATATATAACTATAAATTCCCATAATAAATAAATATCAAATAGATATGCATAAAATATTGCAAGGTATCTTTTAGTCAACCGCACCCTACTAAAGCACGCTTTTACTTGTCATTATTGTATGCCTGTTTGTTTGTATATTGCCATGTGTGTGTGTGTATGTGTGTGTGTTTTAGACAACGTTGTACAAGCTGCTTTTAGAGTTGTGCCATTGCCTTTGGGGCAAATGAGCGGCAAAACAGTGGCAGCGAGAGGGGGCCCTGAGTTGCTCTTTGGTATTTATACATATGTTTATTAAAAAGCGCAAAAGTTGCCTTAAAGGATATCTGTGTGTGCGCATGAATGGCTTTTGTGCCGCCGTGTAGCAACAACAGCAACAACAACAACAACACGAATGATAACCACAAAATCCTTAAGCCAAAACGAAAACAAACGAGAAAGCCTTGTGGCCATATCCGACTATTCATATTAATAAGGAGAAACAAAAACGGATTTAATTGCAGGCCAAATTCAGCACAAAGTCGGATGTTTGGTCCTTTGCCGTTACCCTGTGGGAGATATTGACATTCGCCCGAGAACAGCCATATGAGCACATGACAGATGCGAATGTTATTGAAAACATTGGACATATCTATCAGGACGATAAAATGCATGTAAGTAGTAAAGCAAAATACCATCTCTATATTCACATACAACTGTATATACACATCGATTTTATATATGTATATACATATGTATATTTGCAGGAACTGTTGCCAATGCCACTCAACTGTCCGCGCGAAATTTACGATCTCATGTGCGAATGCTGGCAACGCAACGAATCAAGTCGTCCCAATTTCCGGGAGATACATTTGTTTCTGCAGCGCAAGAATTTAGGTTTTAAGCCCAACACCCAAACGCTGATGTATTGAAATTGTAAAAAAAAAAAGAAAAGAAAAACAAAAACCCACACAAGCAACAAAAAAAATAATGAAAAAGAACCCACTCACGATTTTAGCACATATTTGAAATACATATAGGTATATATACATATATATCAAATATTACATGGTAAACTTTAATTCAAAACAGTTAAAGAAAAACAAAATCTAAATAAAAAGAAAACACAATGCGAATTTTATGCATTTATATGAGGAAATGCATTTAAAAATAAACAATGTGCAAGCGAAACTACGGCTAGTCGTGTTTTAAATAGCCCCAACCAAACTATTATCAAATTTGAAACAACTGAACTTTAGCTTGGCCTGCCTGACTAGGAGAACTCATTATATGCTCTGAAATCTTATATTCTATGTATGCAGAAATTTGTATTATGTATGTATTAATAGTGAGTGACTTACCTATTGTTTTTCTTACTATCCATCTACTGATTTTCACTTTCACATTACACTACACCATTCTGAAATGAAAAAAAAATATATATAATAATAATAATAATAAGATTTTAATAATATTTATATTAACAATCGTCGAGCAAATATATTTTATGCGCTATCTTTTCTCACATTTTAAACTAAAAGAAATTAAGTTCAATTACTCCAAAATATCCTTCTTATCCATTCACTAATTATTTTGTAAAATATTTTAAATAATCTTCGAGCAAATTCCTTTCTATGTGATACCTTTTTCAATATGTTAATCTAATTCCTTAAAATAAGGATATATTTAGTTTATAATTATACTAAATTTAAATTAATTTCAGTTACCTTAAAAAAAAGTTTTTTGGCTTAATTTTCTGTTGCAACGATTTTTCATAAACTAAAATCTTCTCAAGCATTTCTTATATATTTTACTGTTTTGGTTGGGGCATAATGCACTTAATACTACATAATAATATCTATATATATATATTATAAGTGATTTATTGGTCAAACACAGGAGATGCTTAGTATTAGCTTAGCTTTAAGGGCAAATTCAAGTCAATAGCTTAAGATTTTTGCATTCGAACATAATTCAAATAGCATTGTAAATATAGACTTCAACAGATAGAAAAACTATACACAATTCACAATTTTTGGCATATGATAGACCTAAGTATTTGTAGTACTGTACGCGTATTCTATGAAATAGAATCTAAAAAAAAAAAAGTAAACATTGACATATGTGTGTACCTATCGCTCCTCCACCTGAACGCTATCTATCGAATAATTTTGCTTTAAATGTATATACCCAGAAAACCAAAGGAACTATATTATATACATACATATATATTTATATAAATGTAGTTCTATGCTATCCCCCTCTCAATTCTAAAAAAGCAAAAACTCTATCAACTATGACTCAAAATTGAATTTTGATGGATACAAAATGGAGAGAAAAGAGAAATCTACTATATATCCGAGAACCTGCGTATAATTTTGACAATAACTGTTTCGAGCAACTGAAAATTAGAATTTCAATTTATGCAAAAATGCTTCTAGAACTGCCTACTAGTAGAGAAGTGTGTTCTATATTAAGCTCATATGCTAAGCGTAAATATTCTAATGCTAAGATCATCAATTTTATTTTCAAGCCAATGCTCGAACTTTGAATCACGAGATGACTAAGTCAATTAGACGCATATCAAAATATTTTATTTATTCTGACCCACATTAAACTATCACCAATTGTTTTTATTTTATATTATTCTAATAATATCAATAATGAACATTTTACTGTGCCTTTTCCTCGTGTTTCTTTCATATTCCAACATTTTGTATGTGGAAACTAAATTAATTGCTAATCTGAGTTTTATGAATAAGCTTTACGAAGGTTTCGCTGTAGCAACAAAACTGCTTTGAAAATATATTAATTATCAACTATGGAACAAAAGAGAAAATAAATTAATTCGAGCTCGAATTCGGCTAACCGAATCTCAAATGACTTTCCATCGAATCAACTATAATAGAATATTCAAATGGAAAATTCAAATGATTGTTTGGAGAGTTCATTCAATGAAACGTTTGTAATTGTGCAATTGATTTAATTATAAATCTTAGTTCGTAGTGTATTCCAATCATAAATGCTGATTTTGCATTGTAGACTCATATAAATGCAATTAAAAACTATTATTGAACAAAATATATATATTCCATAAAACAAGTACACAATTATTTGAAAATGCTGTCGAAAAATGAATAAAAAATGATTAAAAAGTTTCAATTGCAACGAATCAAATTATGACAAAATTATATGAATTATTAATTAATTTCAAGGCATATTTAATATATATTCAAGACAACAACAAATAAAAAAAAAGGAAAACTAATTGAACATTCAGACATTTGAAAAACAAAGAAAAACGTTGAGCACAATCATGTTGAATAAAGTTTAAAATTTTAAGTGGCTTGAAATAGCAAAAACAAACACAAAAATCATAAGGAACTTAAATACTGATGAAATTACGAATATATAGCTTAAGTAAAAAATTGCAGCAAATATAAAACAAAAACCAAACCGTAATGACATACAAATCCTAAGTACACAAAATGCAAAACGTAAAATGAATTACAAATAAAAATTTCTTGAACGAACAATCTTCTCGGTGGCATTTTCCTATGGGTCGAGTCGGAGCTCAGCAAAAGCTGTAGCAGCACAACTAAATGAGAATTTGAGCCGCTGCGTGCAAGCCAAACAGCTGGGACTGCGCTCCGGGCGGAGATATCTTGGGGCCCTAAAAGCAGACAGAGCCACACCAACCACCACCAGCTGGCTAGCGGGCTGACTGGCTATGCGACACCCACTGGGCCCAAGTACTAGGGCAAATTAAATAACATAAAATACAAATCCGCTACAAATCCAAAAGCCAACTACAAAATAATAAACTTATTAATTCAAATTGCGATGGCCCCAACACCGCCAGCAGCGACCTGCACAGGACTTGGCCTCGACTTGCTGGACTAGCTCTGTCTGTCAGGCTGCTTCGCTGGCTCATCATTGTCGCATTGTTAAATCCTGCAAACATCTGTGTCTCGTGGAGCTCAATTACACACAGCTATTTTTGCGCCCTTACTTTTTCGAAATGCCCTCCTTGCCTGGAAGGTGCTTAGATATTAGCTGGAGATGAACGCGTGAGTGACATTATATACCAACAATGTTGCAACTAGCTTTTTCAACTATTTGTAAGCTTTTTTATACGCCGAAGCTACTAAAATTAGGGTACAATGTTTTCTTTGTTACTTTTTTCCTTAATTTATTGTGTAAAATATGCAGTGAAATTTTTTATTATTTCTATTTTTTTTTTTTTTTTAATTTACATTTATGTTTTTCTGATATCTATTTTAGATTAGGTTTTTAGGTTTTAATTGAAATAACCTGTTAATGTACATATACAATATATAAATATGCAATAGAACGAAAGACAGGCGATCAAACACATACGGCTTATAAATACACACGTATACTAAAGTCCTTCCATTTCACTATGGGTAAAAAGTCGATTTTTTTGGCATTTATTCAAAAAAAATTTTGTT